TTAAGATTTCAGTAAATTGACTGTCTATAACTGTTGCATGGTAAGTAAATAAATAATAGTTGATAGATTCAGAATTACCACTGAGATATTTCAGGAAAAGTTGAAATGACACCAATGGCTCGGCATGCAGCTGACCTAACTGAAGGAGCATCATCATGAAAAGCAGCTCTCATCTAAAGAGATATTTAGATGTCAGCACAAATTATTAAATAGAAACATTATATTCTAACCAGAGAAAACAGAAACTGCAGTTAAATTCAAATGCATGTTACTTCAAGACTTACCACAGAAGATAGGATAAAGACTCTTCTTTCCTCTGTAAGCGAGAAGAGCACAGACGAAGTAATTCCAGCAAAGCAAGTAACAGATGCAGTTCTCACCTTCCAGAAAAAGAAAACAGTTAAGATATATGTATAAGGTTTCGATCTTAATCAGGTAGATACCATATTGAGCACTGTGAAAAGATACAACATATTACGACAGAACAAAAAAAGTAATATTGGGCTGAGTTGGGTTTGCACCTTATGAACTTCCTCTTTCTACGCTTCAGAGGTATCAGATTGCAATATTACATTGACACTTTTGTTTTCTTAGTTTTGTTGTTTGTTTTCTCTCTTTTGTCTTTGGTAGGATAGAGTATTCTCCTCTAGGTTTATTTCCCCTTTCTTTGTCTAATATAATTCCTTTTCTATCAAAAAGAAAAACCAACAAAGCAAGTAACTGAGGGAGTTCTCACCTTCCAGACAATGGACACAGTTAAAAGCTGCATGTAAGGCAAGATAACTTTAAATCTTAATCAGGTAGGTACCATGTTGAGCACTAAGGAAAGATACAACATGACTATAACAGAAGAGAAAGTGTAGACGATATATCAGCCTGAGATAGTCTGATGGGGAGAAGAGTCATATAGGGTAAAAGCCTAATAGATCACCATTCACAGAAAGCTCTCGCAATTGGGAAGGTGTTACATTATTTTTCAGGACTTGGGACTATCCTTGTAATTTTGAGTTTTCTCCTCAATTCACTACTCTTCCATAATGACTTCACAAAAGGTCTGTATATGTAGCCATATTGCCAAACCACACAAAATCTGTGGTTATCTCTCTCTCTCACTTTTACTTTGATCTTAGTGGTGTGGGTATATTCACTGAAGTGAGGCAGACATAAAGGGATGCCAGCTATCAGGAAAAGGGACCTTGATTTTTTTTTTGAAATAAAAGTATAGTCTAGTATATATATTAACAACGGTACCAAGAGAGTATCACCCGAATACAAATATTTACACATCAATCAAATGGTCTATTATAATGTTTCCAAAATCATCTAGCCCATTAATGTCATAACCTAAAATCATAGAACCAAAAATGTGAATCCATCTATCCCTAATGTTAACAAACTTTCTCTCAATCCCATCAAAGGCTCTAGCATTTCTTTCCTTCCACACCACCCAAAATATAAATAAAGGAATTAAGAGTAGGTGAATTTTCTTTTTACATAAACCCACCCACACCCACGCCCACAATTCATCCTTCACAGAACCCACAATAACTCAATTGATCCCCAAGAGACTGTAGACCATAGACCGTATATTATGAACCGTCGAGCACCACAGCATGATATGATTGCATGATTCCGTATCCAACTTGCAAAGGAAGCACCAGTTAACCATGATTTTACTCCTCCTTGATATCTGAATTTGGTTCATGGCAGTGACCAAGATCGAGTTATAGTACATTAGAATATAAATTGTTTACCCCACAGATATTTAAGTTTGCTAGTTTCAGCCAGATCATTATGTTAGGACCAATTAATTCAAAATTGAAATGAACTGAAAGTAAAATTCAGCCTTTATTACTTCACAGAATGTTGAGATGCTTTGGATGGATATACATATATAAATATGTGTGTGGCATTTGTGTGCTCTCTATCTAAATAAATAATCATCTAATAAAACAACAATCAAACTAATGACTGTATCAAACTCTCTTCAAAAATTGGAAACTGTCCAAGTCTTTTATAACAATGTTGTTTCTGCTCAATATTATGGCCCTTTTTCCTTTTCTGAAAAGAAAAAGAATGGTTAAGCACCTAATACAATAACCATGACCAACTTAGTTTAAAATTAGCTAAATTGTTTGGATTAAGTGTCAAGAATAACTTACTAGTCATGGTGCTTCCGGCAGCCATGGCTATTTTAGCTCCTGCACAGATGATGTAAGGATTACAATAATCATGACCAACTTTTACTTTCTGAGAGTTAGTCTGTATGGACAGCAACTGTACGGCCATGGCTATTTAGCTCCTGGACAGATGACGTCTTTTTCATCGTTTCTGCTCATGCCACTAGAGAGTGGTGAGGAGGAATGGTGCATCCAGCAACCTGGAAGTTCCTGGTAATCGAAAGTAAAACTTTTGATGTGGGAATAGCAGGAAAGAGAGTGGAAGGCATGAGGGTGAGTGAGAATAAAAAATGGTTAAGATTAACTCTCTCTTTCTTGGGGGGTGGGGAGGAAATCGAGTGGCACCTAGGTGTGCTGCAAGAATTTTACCGGACGAGAAAGGGGGTTTTGGTGAGTGATATACGTCCAACAAAAATCACCAAGCTCTAAATGGATTTGGAGGGAACACAGTTCATGATTATCGCATAGCAAAGAGTGGAAGAAAACATAAGCATTTTTATCCCAAATGGACCACAGACCCAGAGAATGGTAGAGGACGATGGTGGCGCTGCATAAGATGATGGGGAGGAAGTTAGGACGCCTGACCATGAAGAGGCGAGCTAACCGTGCTTGGAAAAGACAATACTGAACTAGGTGAGTTAGAGAGAGTAAAGTTAGGTAGCGATACACACTATCACTCTTGCACCGTGAAGTGCTTGAGTTGTCAGGTGGAGATGAAGGTGATATTGGAGATTCGGGAAGTGAGGAGGTATGCTGAAGTGGTGAAGGAGGTAGAGAGAGGAGAAATCAGGTGGGGAAGAGAAGATCCGATTTCAAACTGGGTCAGGTAAAATTCAAATTTTACCAAAATGCAGTTAGTAGGTGTCGTTTAAGCAACCCAAAGGACCCGAGCGAGTCCTCTGACGAGGACGAAAGAAACAGAAGCAGGGAGAGAGATGCAGGAATGGGGAGGAGGTGGTGAGGGAGTTATAATGTCCCCAAGGGAGGAGTATGGGATTGATGTGTATGTGCTAGATCGATCTGGGAAGGATAGTGAAGCAGAAGTTGAGCCGCTGGTGGTGATCCCACTGGATGTCATTGTGACTGATGGTGACATCGACGATGGAAAAGTGATAGAGCAGTAGGAAACTGTGTTGGTTGTTGAGGGATGAATGGTGAAAATGGGACAGAATTGGGTGATAGGGATCCTACCACATGGGTCCTTCTAAATATTCAAAGAATTAGTAAATTGATAGGGGTAAGTTTTGAAGGTCTTGAGGAGCAAGCCATGAACTTGCTCAAGGAGATTGAAAAGACAAAGCAAAAGGGAATAGAAGCCGAGCGATATCCACAGTAAAGAAAAAACAGGATGTGAACAAGTGCACAAAATTGAAGAGGTTGCAGTCCACAATCAACTATGATAAGGGGGAGATTGAGGGAGAGCGGGGAATCAATAACTTATCGTTATTATAAAGCGCATCATCTCTTGGAATGTAAAGAGACTGAAAGACCATAGGAAAAGGTTAGCGATAAGGGGATGCATGGACAGGTAGAAACCCGAGTTAATCTGTCTTCAGGAAACTAAAATTAGTTCTTCTCGAACAACATGGCACACTATATGGATGATTAGGGAGATTGATTGGAGGGAGTTCCTGCCAATGGAGCTGCTGGTGAGGTTGTAATCATATGGAATGAGGATGCTCTTCAATGTGTTAAGGTTTTGGTTTATTTAAAAAAAGTGTTAGGGTCTTGGTTGTGGATTGTGTCATCTGGGGTTTATGGCAGAGGCAAGGGAAAGGAATTAAGCAAGTTGTGGGACGATTTGAGGGAATGTAAAAGGAAATAAGATTCCCCTTGGTTAGTGGGGGAAGATTTCAGCATAGTTTTGCACAAATAGGAAAGAACATGAGAAATTTCTCCAGGATTTATGCTGATGAGTTCCAAGAGACCTTAAATAGACTAAATTTAATGGATCTATCTCTTGCCAAAGGCAAATGTACTAGATTTAATAAAAAATCAAAACCAGCTTGCTCCAAGACTGATAGATTCCTTGTGTCGATGAATTGCCAACTTGAATGCTCGAAGCTGTGTCAGACACTATTGCGGCGCACTATTGCTGATAATTTCTGCCGAGATTCTGGTGGGATAAAATGGGGACTCTCTCTTTCATATTTGAGGATAAATGACTTAAAGTGATGGACTCATAATAAAATCAGAGATTGGTGGAACGGTATGGTGGTGGACGGCAAGGTAAGTTATGGGGTGGCTAAGAAGCTATGGTCGGTTAAGGTGGAAATTGACAGGTAGCAAAAAGAGTTAATGGATCAATTGATTTTTGGGACATGATAGAAATGATTTTGAAGATTTTGGGATGGTAATGGATCAATTGATTGAGATGTAAAAGCATTGTAAATGGGCGGTACCCCCTTAGTACTGTTTAATATGATACTACACTTTTATTTAAAAAAAAAAAGTAGCATAAAGAGTTATTTCAAAAAAAAAAAGCAGCATAAAGAGAAACGGAGGGAAGACTCAACTACTACTAAATCCTTATTTCAGGATCTAGAGGGCCTTGACAGAATGTAAGGGGATGGGGATTATCTAAAGTTGAGCAAGCCCGTAGAGAATCTATTTGCATTGAGCTGGAAAACAGAATCCAAATGAAAGAGATCTCATGAAGACAAAAGTCTCGTGACAGGTGGATAAAGACGGGTGATAGAAATATGACATTTTTCCATTGCATGGCTAACATCATAGGAGGATCAATTATGTGGAAGAGTTGGAGATTGAAGGAGTTGTAGTAAAGGGGAAAGAAGACTTGAGGGAGAGGCCCAAAGCTTTCTTCGACAGGCTTTGCTATGGAGAATTTTGGTGGAAAGCTAAGTTGGATGGCTTGAATTTTTGTCGTTGGATGATCACAGTCATGAAAATGAGATTCATGAAAGCCTTATACAATGCAGTAAGAATAAAGCTCCTAGGCCAGATGGCTTCACGATGGGTTCCCTCCAAAGGCTGTACCTTGTGATAAAGGATGATATTTTTGAACTCTAAACTGATTTCCATGAAATGAGGCAGTTCATTAAACGTTTAAACCCTACTTTTTGTTTTTTATCCTAAAAATTGAGGGAGCAACAAGCATTTTTTAAGAATTTTAGACATGTCAATCTTGTGGGAAACGTGTACAAACTTATTACTAAAGTTTTAGCAAGAAAAATGGCTAGGGTGATGGAGAAAGTGATGGGAGAGTATCAGCACGCTTTTGTAGGGGCTAGACAGATTTTGGACGCAGCCTTGCTTGCAGATGAGATTGTAGATGAACTAAAACATAAGAATTTAGAAAGAGTCCTTTGTAAACTTGACATGGAGAAAACCTACGACCATGTGGATTGGGAATTCTTAAATTATATGTTAAATATGATAGGTTTTGGGGACAAATGAAGTGGATCAGATGTTGTATCTCCACGACCTCCTTTGCTATTATGATGAATGGGGGTCGTTGTCTTTCTTCAGGGCCACCTGAGGTCTCAAGGCAGAAGACCCCTTGTCCTTGTTATTGGTTATTATTATCATAGAGGCTCTCAACAAAATGACTTTGAGGGCTTGTGAACCTGAAATGTTTATGGGTTTCAAGGTCAGAGATTAAGTGTGTGGAAGAGATTATTCACTTATTTTTTGCTGATCACAAGATGTTTTTCTGTAATTCAAGGGAGAGAACCTTGCTAAACATTAGATGTATTTCTACTAAGCTTCCAAGCAGTATCAAGCCTTAATATAAATTTTGCCAAGTCTGAGTTGGTGAGACTAGGGTCAGGATTGATGGGAGTAGAGATCAACCACTTTGGAGTCTTAATGTTAAAAGACCTTTCTCTATAAGTTCTTTAACCATATGACTAATAGAGAGACTATGGAAAGAAGCTCTCCTCACAAGCAAATTTAGAGAGTTAATTCATTGTTCAAAGTTGCTTTTTTCGCTTGGAAGGCTACTAGAGGTTGCATTTTAACCGAAGACAAGCTTATTAGAAGGGGTAGGGTGCTACTGAATGGTTGTTATGCGTGCAGAAGGGATTCGCAATCATGTAACCATGTACTATGGTTGTGCTCCTTTGCATACAAACTTTAGACCCTTGCTTATGGCCTATTGGGTATTAATTGGGTGATGGGCATTAAAGGGATCAGAGGGTAGATGAGACATGTGAGCCTTATTCCTCTTGCTACTTTTTGAGTGGTATGAAGAAAATGAACATGAAAGCTATTGAGAGCACAAATGTCAACTTTGATAAGGCTGAGGATAGTTGGTATCAGAGTCCAAGTCTTTTCATTAAGAGTTATCTCTTTATTCTTTTTTAGGATATTGGGGACCTTATTGATAGGTAAATATTTTTACCGATAAGTTTGTACCCCCTCGGTGCGTATGAATGAATACATACATACCTTTTTACTTTAAAAAAGAAAAAAGAAAAGAAAATAGAATCATACTGGGGTAAAAGAAAAAAATGCCCCTTATCCCTTTGGCTACCATCTGGATGATCTTGAAGAAAAGGAGCCACAGTGTTCAAGGACATTGTCTCTTCTGAGAATCTGGGAACCATTACAGACATTTTGTGTTCGTCTGAACAGATCCTAAGTATTAGTCTACATGAAAGCATATTCTTCATTTTCTTTCAAGAAAAAAAAGAGAGCAAGATGAAAGCATAATTCCATAGGCAATAAACTTCAGTTTGCATAAGCAACAACTTCCCTGTTGTTCAAATCAATTTATAAAAACTTGGAGCATGCATTGGGAAATTCAAAATTCATTGAGTGTGTCAAATTAAGCCTTAACTCAGAATAGAAATCATATCAATGAAAAAGAACAACAAAAAATTTCAACTAACCATTGCAGAAGTGTGATGCAAAACCAGAGGTACATGGTTATCAATTGCCTCAGACCACTGCACATTTGCTGATTGGCATGCTTTTGGTTCTTTAGAACAGTCAAAATTCTCTGATCCATATGATGGAGCTGATGACACTTTCTTTGTTCTCATGCAATCAGAAGTAAATGGGGTATCAAATGATTTATCATCTAAAAGATCCTCTGTTCCTTTAAATCCAGATATTGCACGAAGGCATTCATCCAAAACCTGCAACATATATGATTGTTACACAATTGTGCACAAAAATAAATAAATAAATAACACAATAAGAGCATCATGTCTGAATACGTAGAAAAGTAATCTTCTTAACAAATCTCAATCACACACAAAATGAACAACTCCTGTTCCCTTCTTTTTTTTTCCTTTACTTTTTTGGGTTGGGAGGGGGTATTTCTATCATTTGATATGACAGGATATTTCTATCAAATTCTATATATGGGTCATAGCACAGATAAGACTCATTTGATTCTTCCCGAATCAGGATGACAAGAAAAAATATTCACCCATCCAAAAATCTTCATCGACTCCAAATGTTGCATCAGTGTCAAGCTCAAGCATTCACTTCAAACGTTCAGGCGGCAGTGCAATTTGTTAGCACATAGGTCTTAGAATTTTTTAGTTTAGGTCTTAGAATTTTTAAGTTCCTCTGAGGCTGAGAGTCCAAGCTCTCCTACCCTACAGTTTAAGTTAAAAAAATGATCAAGGATTCAAGTAAATTCAGTGGCTTTCAGAATAACATCTTTTGTCGGTAATACTGCAGAATACATGTCATTCAGAACGGTTTCGAACATCCTAGAGCTCCTTCTTCTCTTTCTATGGTGGAAAAGGAGCAGAAGAGTGCCAGTGGCATCTTTAGAGATCAATTTTTTTTTTCTGAAAAGAAAATAGAATATATTCAAGGGTGCATGTACACAAAGCATCTGCCATTCTAACAGGATATCAATTAAAGTTCCTCCAGATCCTCGCTAGAATAAAGCGGATGACTCCTTAACTAAAAACTCAAAATCTGGAACTACAAATCCTCATAACTTACCAAAAATTAGATTTTGTCCCCTCAAAAGCATTTCTATTTCTCTTGTTCTAATAGCACAAAAGGTAGCCAAAGAAATGTCTTAATCTCTAATCACCTTGGATGCCTCTCTAGGCCCATAAGTCTTCCCTTACTGAACCTGTCATCACCCCACTCACGCTCAAGAAACCATAGGCCACATCCAAATCTGATAACCATATGAACATCACAAAAAAAATTGTGATTGCATGATGCTGCAGCGCACTTGCACAGGGAGCACCCATTCACTATAACCTTTCCCCTCTAATCAACTTGTCTTGAGTTAGAATATACTTTCTATCACTGGTTCTCAGATGAAGAAAGCCACCCTAGGAGATGTCCTAACCTTCCAAATCAAATTGGCCAGAAAAAGTGATCACAAGGCACTATCCCCTTATTTAGATGCCAATAAAAGAACTACACTCAGAAGGTACCAGAAGAATTCAATTTCTAGATAGGCCTGTATCTATGAGCTTGTCATATTTATCTCTGATAGACGCCTCAATGAACCTCAGATACTCATGGATCTCCTAGTCATTTAAATTCTTGACCAAATCAACTGACACCACCTCACTCTTGAAGTGAGCTAAGGCAAAAATACAGGGATCAATTATCTCTACATATCATACTGAAAAGTGGCTATCATTGTGTCAATATATGCAATATGAAATTTATCTTTCCAGGTAAGCAAGAGAGGATTTTTTTTTTTACGAAGAAGAAGAAAGAGAGAGATTTAAATTCAGGCTGGTAGTATTATCTCAAAAAAAAAAAATCAGGCTGGTAGTAAACAAAAGCACGATATTAATAGCAATGCTGGGAAAAGCATCAATATAAGAATATATATCATGTGTTCATGTTCAGTATGTGAGACATAAAACTTTGCACAACTCAAAAATTACATTGATATATGTCTGAATCTATTTATCGCTTTTGCTCCAGCAGTGATAAACAAGTAAACCTGATGAACGTTGGATAATATAGAGATTATAGTCTAATATTGCAGACCATATTTTCATTCTGGTGCCATAAATAGATGAAAAAAGAATTGCCAGAAAATCATATTATCACAAATTATTGGACGCAAAGTGACCTTCATGTGCCAATAGTTTGCCCAGACATGGCATAGCCATCATAATGACATGCATCTATTTCATAAGCAAATGATCGTGATTAATTCAATGTTCCAATAGTATTCTTTTTTTTAAATACAGAAAATAATATATTCTTTTCTACTCTATTCTTGGTTTCATTCTTCTGTACTCTTCCCTACTCTCTGCTTGCATGAATTTCACAAGAGCTGCCTTAAGCATATGTATGAGTAACAATACAATACCATTATGTGTTGAGAAATTCTCCCATCATGGAACTGTCACAGAAAATTGGGGAAAAAAAAACTTGGTAAGTGTTAATTTTTTGTGCGATTGACAAACAATTGGCCATTCTCAATAATCTCCATTGATCATCATAGAGTTTCTCTTACTGCAAGATAAACTGCAGAGTGACAAGAGTGATCATAATATGGCACAAAATTGGAACTCTCTTGCTATTCGTTGAAAAGGAAGAGCTTTGAAACCAACAGATAATACACATAAATATAAGGTTTGAAAGGAAGAAAATTAGCATAGAACGTCTTACCTTAATTGCAGCTGCAATGACTTTTTCCCCAATACATCCGCTAGTATTTCCAACTTGTCCCCTCCATGTCCTAGGAGAAACCTCAGAAGTAGCAGCAGTCAAAATTTTATATACAATGCCAGATACCCGTTCCCAACATGCTGACATCAAGTTTGGGTAATTGTGTGACACAGCTCTAAGGGCCTGCAATGCATGATATATTTCCATATTATAAGATCTTCTTAAAGCACAAGACTAATATAACTGTAGAGAAATCTCGCAGAGGATCTTTTTTCTAATCCCTTGTCTGTCTGACTTTTAGCCACTCGGGCAATTTGGGCCACAGCTTGAGGCACAAACAACCATGACTAAACGCATGCTTTAGCACCAGTCAGTTGCATATAATTATTGTTTGCAGGCATGAGCATGCACACCTGTGCTTCTTACATCACTTCATACAAACATTATTGCTCTTGTCAACAGAAGAAGCAGGTTTTGTAGCTCTGTGCACAAATATTACATCTCATTCAAATGGTCCCTCCTACTCTTCTTATTTCATGTTCACCCTCTCTTGACTTCCTCAATGGAAATAGGTATAAAAGTTTTGATTTACCAAGCAAACTAATTTATCAACTAAAAACAGAATTTGTCTAACTAAGTCATCATTAGGTACTTTGATCCAAATCATGCAAAATTTTCAATATCCAGGAAAGCACCTTCAGGAAGCAACGTGCAGCAGAAGCTAATTAATCCTTAAAAATCGTTCAACAAAGATTATTATGTTATCTTCATAAAAACTTTTACCTGGAGGGCCTCAAAGCATGTCGCTGGGCTGCTTATTTTCTCAGAATACTGGAATAGTGTTAAAAGAATGCCTGACCTCCTTCCAGCCTCAACAAATTCTGAAAAAGAGCTTCAAATATATTCCAACGTCAAATTAGATACAGCACTAAACTTCAAATATTTTGAAGCATAAAAATATATTGATATCAAGGATTTCATTTTGGATAAAAACCCTGAGAGGGGAATGGAAACATGAAGTTTGACAACCCTAAATGGCTTATCCATAGTCAATAAATATTTGAGTGCTTCAACCAAAAAGGAAAAGACCAAGGATTTAAATCATGTTATGAGCAGGATGCATCTACCACTTTCAATTAATCTTGTAACTGACACTAATTATAAATTTTGGATCTGAAATCTGACATCTTGATCAACAAAACAAGTCAAGCAACCCCGTACAACTAGAAGGAAAATTGGTCTACTCACTCTAAGGTAGCATCTGAGAACATAAATATAGGACTTGAGAAAAGAATAGAGTCTAGTTTTATGTTTAGTGACAAAAATGTAAAAACTGAGCAATGCAACGAACATTTGAAGTTGGAAAAAAAGTTGTCCTACAAAATGGTGGAGCAAACTTGTTATCTCCAAATTAAATATAAATTCCCAAAATACCCCTCCCCTTCCCTTCATTACCCTTCTCTTCAATTGTTTTATCTGGCATTAATTTATTATTACTTTTTATTTTTAATTACACTATTGAAAGTTGATTTTTCAATTTGATCCCACACATTTTTACCAAAGCATTTAGGACCATAATTAAAGAAGTAGACCTCCAACAATATTAATTTTAAATTCACGTGAGTTGGGGTTTTGTCAACTACATGATGAGGAGAATGGGCTTTGGAACTAAATGGAGAGATTGGATGAAGCTTTGTATGTCTACAACATCTTTCGCCGTTATTGTTAACAGTGGACCATCCGATTTCTTCACGGCCTCTAGTGGGCTAAGACAAAGCGATCTGCTGTCCCCTCTTTTATTTATCATTGCTATGGAGGCCTTGAATGGTTTATTATGCAAGGCTGACGAACTACAGCTTCTGAAGGGTGTTTTGGTGGGAAGAAGAGATGATTTTATTTAAGTCTCATATTTATTTTTTGCAGATGATACGTTTATATTCTGCCAATCTGATGTCAGAAAGTTATACACTTGAGGTGCGTGCTCCTGTGTTTCCAGGCCGTTTCTGGACTCAAGATCAATTTGGATAAATCGGAACTTTCTAGGACTGGTAATAATGGTGATAGCAGTCTGTTTGCTAAGGTCTTGGGTTTGCAAAGCTGTTAATTTCCCTTTGAAATATCTTGGGATCCCATTGAGAGCCAAATACAAAGAGAAAACCACCTGGGATCTAGTTATTGAGTTGTGTGAGAATAAACTTGCGGGTTGGAAACGTAATTTTCTGTCTAAAAGTGGTAGGCTCACTCTTATCAAGAGTACCATGGTCAATCTTCCTATATACTATCCAGCCACTCACACTATCCCAATAAACATTGAGAAGAAGCTGGAAACAATACAGTGCAGATTTCTTTGGGACGATGAAGAGAATAACAGGAAGTACCATTTGGTGAAATGGGAGGAGATTAAAAAACCAGTAAAAAAATGAGGCTTAGGAATCAGGTCCATAGTCACCATGAATGAAGCGTTACACGGTAAATGGCTTTGAAAATTCTTGAATGAGGTAACAGGCTGTGGAGGCACGTAGTGGTAGCAAGATGGGGTGTTCTGACAGCTGGCAGAGATAGTAACAGATTATACAGACTGCATGGAAGGGGCCTTTGGGAAAAAATAATGATGCAATAGCCTAAGTTTCAGCAGTGTATTAAGTGGAGAATTGGGAAAGGCAATAAGATCAGCTTTTGGCTTGATGAGTGGGCTAAAGAGGGCTGTCTCAGGAACATATTTCCAAAGGTATACGAAATATCCCAATCAAAACAGATGGTGGTCGAGGAGGCATATCGGGTCCGTAATGACTGTATTGAATGGATGGTTAATGTTTATAGAAATCTTAATGATTAGGAAATCATTGAGTATGAGGAGCTGTTATTGTTGTTGGCGGAACAGGAAATCAAATCCAATTCGGATCAGGTTACTTGATACTGGAAAAAAGGGGGGAGTTCTCTGTGGGATCCTATTACAGACACTTGATTGGGGAAGCTGAGGATGGCATGCATAATTTCCCAGCGAATCAAATCTGGAAAGTTAAAGTGCCTCTGAGAATCGCTTTTTTCTCTTGGGAGGCTTGCAGAGAAAGTATCCTTACTATTGATAAATTAAGAGCCCGGGGACAGTTCACAGTTAACAGATGCTATCTCTGTCTGAGTGCAGATGCATCATGCAATCATCATTTGGTATCCTACGGCTTATGGTTTGTGGAGTATGATTTACGCTTTACTAGGAATTAATTGGGTTATATCTGGGACTGTTCGTGGGGAATTATGGGCTAGGGAGGGTTTATGTGTTAAAAGAAAGGTTGCAAAACTGATTCCATTAACCATTTTTTGGGTTTTTCTGAAAAGAAAAGGAATGGTAAAGCTTTTGATGGTAGAGAATTAGTCTTGTATAATTTAAAAGATAGGTGGATACACTATTTAGGGACTACTTTATTAGATCGTGACATAAATTGTGATGAGAATTTTGAGAATATCATAAATATTCTAACTACATTATAAATCTTTGTACATAAGTGGTACCCCCATTTTTTGGTCCCTTATTAATATATGTCTTACATTTTTTATTTAAAAAAAACAATATTGATTTTAAATTAATTTTAAAAAATTTATATTTTCCCAAGAAATTCATAAAATAATAACTAATTAACATATTATTTAACTAATTGAATAAATTAAAATACAAGATTAGATTTAAATAACAGAAGGGCATTAAGGTATTTGTACATCGTGTTATCCTGTCCAAATTTGTATCCATCAGACGCTACACTATAAGGTAAAATACTAAAATTTCCTCTTTGTTAGAAAACGTTCAAATTTCCACCTGAAGCATTTTTTGTTCAAAATTCTCCCCTGAACCTCCAAAAACGTGACAAAATTCCTCCTCTCCGTTAACTTTTCCTAACAGCGTCTGTCATGCTGACTAAGCATGTGATGTGGAGAAGCAATGTCAATGGTTTTTTAAAATTTGTTGATGTGGAGACCACATCAGCACCACATCAGATTTTCAATCCAATTTTTAGTCAGAGGTTTTTTTACCATGCTTTCTTTTTTTCTGCACGTACCACCATCTATACCTTAAAGCAAAATAACTCCCTCAACTTTGTGCCATCGTCTTCTTCATAGCATCGTCCCTCTCATTTGCTCCTTCACAATGCCGTCTTCTTTGTGTCGTGCATGCCACCTCTCCAGGAAAATGAGGTCATCAATCCAACGCATATAGAAATTTAAAATCATCAGCTGCAAGTTCCCTGAACTTCAGATTCCGTACACTTGGAAGAAAAACCCCAGATTCCCCTTTGTTATTTTTCTTTTTCTTCAACCACATTTCACTTTGTGATTTCATCTTCTTCAACGATTAGACCTTCAACCTACAGACTCCATAGTTGCCGAGCCCAAGCTCCTTAACTATTCGTAAATACAGAGAGCTTCTTCATTTCATTTGTTCCTTTCTCTCTCTTCTGTTTTCCTTCTTTGTTTTTACATTGGAAAATTAGCAGAAAAACCCAGAGAGTGAGGAAGAAGAAGAGAGAATCCATCAAAGAATGAGCTTAAAATCATGGTGAAAGTCAATTAAGCTGACCCAATATGCCCATGGACCCAGCCCCAACAATCCGAAACAGTAAAATCACGACGATGCTCTCAATCGAGTGCTTTAAAGGTTCTTCGAAAGTCGACAAGTGGAATTCAAACTGGGGACATAATGGAGGAGATGGGGACCGGTTTAGGGGCTTAAAATCATGACGATGCTCTTACTGTCCCTTTCAGGGGTAGTAAGAGCAAGGTTCAAAGGATTCTGTAGAGCTCGTTCAAGCAGACATGGGTTCCGGTTCCAAACAGATGAGGCAGCCACGAGTTTGTGCAGTTGCAGGCTTGCATTACGATGAATGAATCGGTCGGGAAGAAACAATATATGTTGCAGTTAATCGGGGACTCAAACTACGCACTCAGGTTCTCTGATCGGAGCGAGACCAAGTGCCTAAATTTGAAAGGTGAGTAAACTCATATACCAACATGGCTGCCACGTCAACAAATTTAAAGAACCCCTAACATAGTTTCTCCATGTCACATGATTTGTCAACAATGACAGATGTTGTTAGAGAAAGTTAACAGATACGAAAAATTTTGTTTCATCATTGAAAGTTTATGGGGAACTTTAAACAAAAAATACTTCAAGAAGAATTTCAATATTTTCGAACAGTTCAAGGGGTATTATAGTATTTTAGCCATTTTATTTAGTGATATTCTTTCCTATTTTATCATGTTTAAATAAACCAAATTATATTTAATTGCCAAATTTTGGATGATGCTCCAATTCCCCATTTCAAACAGCCAGCAAAACCAAACTAAAGAGGGGGAAAAAGAGAGAGATTTGAAAATTTGGGAACATTTTCTGAAGGTTTGAAGAATGGAAAATCCTCTTCTACTTGTCTTAATTTCATTTTTGGTGGTGTTACAATTTATTGAAAATAAAGCAACAAAAATAACAAATTCTTAACAAATCTTCCTAACAAATTTATGGAGAGAAGGAATTGCAGAATAGAAAAGAAACAAATTTATTTTCCTATATTTTCTACACTCCCCATCGATCTAATTTATATAAATGTTAAGTAAACCTATATTAGATAAAATGTTATCAAATGTTCCTCTTGGTAAAGCTTTTATTAGGATGTCTGCAACCTGTTGACTTGTTGAGATATGCATAAGGGTTATAGTTCCATCTTCCAATTTTTTCTTGATAAAATGTCGATCAATTTCTATGTGCTTGGTTCGGTCATAATGAACTGGATTCTTGGTCATACTAATAGTTGATTGGTTATCATACCAAACTTTCATAGAGGT